AGAGATGGCTCAGTGGTCTAAAGCACCTACTTGAAACAAGCTTGGCAAAGCACAGGGACGGCGGTTTGATCCCCAGCACCACATGCCAGCCAGACCCGCCCCCTGGTGGGCTGAACTGGCCACACACACACACAATAAATAAATGTAATAAATAAAAATAAATAAATATTTAAAAAAAAAAAAAAGAAAAAGAAATAACTGCTAGAGGCCAGTGAGAGAGCTCAGTGATCTAAAGCACCTGCTTAGTCAAGCTTAGGCAAGCTCAGGGACCATGACTGGATCCGGGGCACCACAAACCTTATCAGCCCCGCCCCCAGGACAGGCTGAGCCAACCACAAACAAAAAAGAAAGAAAAGAAAGAATGAACCACTAAAAATATAAGCTTTCAAGAACATGTACTGTAAGACCTAAAATATTAGTGGAATCCAATAGCTATTTCCTTGCAATGTCCCCAACAGACCTTATGTCCTACCTTTAAACTTTTTCTACATTTCACCTATCATACTTATTCCTCGGGAGTTAAGCTCATGTCCTATCTTCGGTAAGCACTGTCAGATATTCATGAAGTCACATAGGCACTCACCAAGTTATACTGCTATTAAAGCACTTATCACCCTGTGCCACTCACTACTGATTTGACCAGTTTGTGATACAAATTCTAAACTCACTAAAAGCAGAAAACTTGATATATTTATATCAGCATCCTCAGAGGCTGAGACATATAAGGCATTTTGAAGAAGTTCTATGACAGTAAGCATGAAACTCTAGTAAGAAATTCAAAACAAAATTTTAAAAAATTAAAGACTACTTTGCAAGACTACAAAAGTTGAAAGCAGAAAAAGTTCTATACAACACAAAATTTGTAAACTGAAAAAATCCAAATCAAGCTGATGAAATTTCAGGTTCTAGAAATTACCTGTCAGAACAATCCATTTCAAAAAAAAAAAAAAAAAAAAAGAACAAGCCATTTCCATGTTACCTGCAAAACACTACAGAAATTAAAGATTTATCTTAATTCCCTGTGAACTTAATCAAAACTGTAAGGCTTCTAGATATTTATGAAAGGCAAATGATGTATTTAAATGATAGCAATGAATGGCAAATGATATGCTTAAAACATTAGAAGTGTTCACAGTACTATAAACACAAAATAGACTACCAAAAGCTTAATTTCACATGGAGACCCAATGAGACTCTTTTTAAAGATCTCTTATAATGTTTTAGCTACAAGCAATGTGTTCAGTCTTTCCTGTTTAAGAATCCTTTAACCTTTTACAGAATGTAGTATTTTTTGCAATCCGTGCTGATGTTCAGAGAAATCGGACCGAGATATGTAGTGTGAAACCTACTTAGTTTTCCTTTATATTTTGATGATGAGAACTACATACTTCCTCAAGGAGCTTATATGTCACCAACATCTCAAAAGCTTAAGGGATCTTTGTAATTATAATATTCTTTTTGTTTAAACTTTGTTGAATTAAAGCACTGTATTAAAAAGTTGGGAGAAAAAAATTCAAATAAACACTTTTACCCTAAAATAACACAGTTCCATATTTTAAAATATAATGTAAGACTTTAAGATTTATACTTGTTTCTTACAGCTTGCACTGATTAGCAACAAATTTCAGCACATAACAAGTTCAAGCATAACACAGCTCACTTGTTACAAAAAAAAAAAAAAAAAAAAAAAAAATCCAGATTTCTAAAATGAAGTTTTAAAACAAAGTTAAGAAAATACAAAAATTTAACTTCTGATACAGAAAAAGATCTTTAAAAAGATCTTTAGGGCACATATTTGATATTGTATAACACGTAAAACAAATAGAGAACACTCAACAGTTAAAATAAGGGACATAAGAACAGCAGATAGATTATATCCATATTTTAGTCTATTAGTCTTATGGAATGTTTAATGCATAATATATGAAGTGCATGAAATATAGTAAGTCTAACAATAAACAAAAGTATCTACCAACTTAATATTTGTAGGACTCAGTCCTTATATATCCTATAAAAGTACTTACTGTATCACACTACTTTATAACCATATTGATATATTCATTTACAAAACATTTCCCACCAGTCTTCCAGAAAAGGTAGTTTATTTTATAACTAAATTTCCTATAATTGACATTTCATAAACAAGTTCCAGAATTTCTGCATCAATTTCAAGCTACAAACCTTAGAACTCACTGAAGGAGTGAGTTAATTTGTTTGATTAGTTACTTCTTGTTTGTTTGTGGGGTTTTTTTTTGGTCATGTTTTGTTATAAATATACAAGCAACTATTCAAGAAGATTTCTCTTTTCATATATAAAGGACAAAAGAATAACATGTTAACCAGAATCTTAAGACTCTTATTTAAAATCATCCACCCTTTTATCCACACATACTTTGTCAAAAGCACAAGAGTTTTTGTATTTAAATATCTTATTAAAAAGACAATGCAAAAATTCTTTAAATTGTCTAAAAAACACAAGGCTTCCAGAAACACTACACAATGAAAATCAAGCACACTTTCTAAACAAGTATGACATAAATTAACCTATTAAATGAAGTATTCCAATTTTATTTACCACCTGCCCCCTAAATCCATACTGGGAAGCCAAAATACAACATATATCAGCAACTATTTAAAAGAAACCTTTGGATATATCTTACACACAATTCCAATTTATGAGTCTCTGGTGAAGGGGTTCCAAATGTGGGTCATTCTCTATCTTGTTACAGGAAAAAAAAAAAAGTAATATTTTAAAAGCACAATTTCAGCAAGCATAACTAAAGTATTTATATTTTCATGTTCATATTTAAATATGAATGTTTCAAAATTTCTGACTGACATGTAGTTCAAAAGTTGATGTATGATGATTACATGCTACAATTACCAGAAAAAAGCTCTAATTAACTTTCTGAATATGGTTAATTTTTAAAAAGTAACCCAGCTACAAACTCTATCTCTTTAATCCACAATGATTTCTAAAAAAATTCTAAAATTTGAAAATTATATTGATGACGACAGGTTGGTCAGAAAACAAATGGCAATTTAGACAAACGTAGCTACTCAAAACTGAGTGCCTTGAGAAAAAGGCCATATCCAAAACTAAGATGTCAAAACTCTAAACTTTCACATATTAGCTTTCTGTGACATTTAAGTCACCTGAAAATTACAAACCTTAGATAAAAACCTTTACTCTGCCTGTGCTCTAGTTTTCAAATATACAAACTGTAACTACATAAAAATTTTAGTGCGAAGTATATGGTCAAATAAGTGCAAAAGGTTTATCTCATATTCAATCTAAGTTTCATATGTGAATGGTCACTTACGTACCTTACTCTTAAAAATGGTCATAATTATAAACAAAAGAAAAAAATCCCACTCAGTGAAATTCAAATTAGAAGCTTTCTGTTACAAATTTGAAATAACGGCTACCTCTATGCCAATGCAGAGTAATGAACAGTGAAAAGCAAAGAGAAGTACATTGAGATCTTTAAGAATGAAAACTATTCTTCAATGTTGATACGAAAATATTTGGTTACATGAGTATGACGTCGATTTCTGAAAACAACAAAAAATAAGTTTTTGATACGTAGATATTAGACCTCTGGCAACCGAAGAAGGGTGTACAAGAAATACACAGGTGTGAGTTTAGAGACTACTAGGAGCCATCACCTGAGACAAATACCATACAGAATCCATATCTGCAACCTAATTTTGCTTCAGGATTTCTAGAGACTTGAAAAATATTTTTTGGGGGGTAGGCTGCAAAACAGTGCTTCCTCTTTTATTCTCATCACACCCGTGATGATACAAACCAAGAGAAAGACAAAACCAACTTCAAGGGCTGAATTTACACACACACACACACACACACACACACACACAAAGCATCTTCTTTCCCACTCTCGAAACGATATTCATTCCACCTGTTTGTAAATCCGTACTTCCACATTAACACAAACCCTCAGCCAAGAAAGAAAAGAGAAAGGCAAATTAATGCTCCGAGGGAGTCATTATTCTTCTACCTAGGCATGGGGGGAGGGGATGGTACAAAACAATGGATACGGAGGGGCTGGGGGAAAAATCCGTTTTGCCCCGAAGCCTCAGGCAAGACGAGCAGGGCGGAGGGGGGCGGGGAGTTAGGACTACTTTTCCTCTACCTCTAAAAGCTATCGCCAGAGATTGCCATCAGGCACGTCTAACCGGGCGGCCCCGGTGGCCGCAACTCGCTTTTTCTAGCAACACACCCTAAACCGACTCGCCACTCGTCTGGGGCTAAAGCTGGAGGAGCCCTCCGGGGCGCCGCGGACTTTGAAAGGGGCGAGCAGCCCCCGCCGCAGCTGCCCGGCCGCGCCCCGGCCCGACGCCCCGC